GATGGTGAGCTTCGTTGCTGTTGTTTGGCTTCGTGTTCGTGGTCGTGCCATATCTTTATGGTGGGTGTCAGTTTGCTTCATGTATGGATTGGAGGGGTTTCAAGTGGCTAATGATGCAGCTGTGGACTGGCTTCTAGTTTGTGGTCGTGCCTCATCATCTGTGTGGGTTTGGGTTTGCTTTTTGCGTGGATGTGTGGTGGTGACATCCTGTGTGGTTTTCATGAGTGTGGGTCTGGTGTCATTCTTTGTGTTAGGGACTTGTTTGCCAATAAGGGTGGGTTTCCAAATGCAAAAAGCAAACCCAAACCCATCATTAGCCACACGAAGCCAAACAACAGCAACGAAGCTCACTATCTCAAATCCCCCTGCAACTCAGACTAACCTGAGCACAACAAAGCCCCCACCCAAACAGAACACTCCCCATCCAATCAGAGCACAGCCAACCCCCCCATCCAATCAGAGCACAGCCAAGCTCCTTAACCAATCAGAACACACCTCCACCCAATCAGAACACAGCCAAGCTCCCACCCAATCAGTTCAAACCCCACTGGCAGTTAAAAGGAAGAAACAGCTGCGATCACACATTACTCCTAGAAGCACGAAGCTGAAGACACCAGCCTGAAGATGACGAATGTGACTTCGTAAAAACATCGCCAAGACACTTCCAATTGTACGTGGGAGAAAACCCGAATAACCAAAGACCTACATATGTCATATATATATATATGACATCTACTGGAACAGATATAGTCTACTTTTTTGAAATATATATTGAGCATGGACAAGTCTACACCAGCCCCAGCAATAAGGGCAGAGGTGGAGATATCCCTTCTAGAATATTTTTGCTTAAAAACAAACAAAAAAACCTCTAATAATTTAGTCAACAATACCAATATATGAGCAGACTGATATGATCGTTGCAAATTTTGTTTTAAAAGTTTATCATAGTACAAAATACTCAAATATGGCTAGATTACATTACTGCTTGTAGCCACATATTTTATCTATTCCAGAAATAGCTGCCACACACGCTGTTTTTGTCACTCCAGCTTAGATAGAAAATTGTTCCTTATCCCAAACCAACAAACATTTCCTCAAAGAAGTTGAAGGGAGCTTAAGTCTCTATTTTAATTCTGCCCTCTGACCTCCTGGAAACTTCCTAATTGGTCAGGCACAAACTTCCTTTTCCTGATTCAGATCCTTGACAATTTAGATCTGTAATCTACCCAGTTATAATTTTGTCATACAACCTTTTGCTGCCTTATTGAAGCATGTGTATCTCACTGATCCCCCTCATGATCCAGGGTTCTCTATTCATCATCCTCAAGGGTTAACAGACATTTGATGACTCCTGGAATCCAGTTTGACATACAGCTTTGATCAATAGATAAATTTATCAACAAAAGCTATCACTCACATGGACATTCACCAGGCATAAAAAGAATTTCACAGATATCTATAAACTATAAAATTATTTAATTCATGCAATTATTTGGCTCAGGATTAAAATTCTCTTTACTACCTTTCAGAATGAGTCACCAGAAAGACATCATTCTTTGGCCAAATGGCCCAATAATAGCAGGGCATGACTATCCTGGGACTCAGCCTTCCAAATGAACTCAGGGTCTTGGCTGGCTCACCAAAATTATTGGAATATTTTATTCCTTATCAATTTTGTTTCTGAGCTGGATCAAAAAAAACAAACAATTGCATGAATTAAGTTCAATTACATGAATTAAGTCCAGCACAATATCACTGAAAAAGAAAAATAAGAAATCCAAGAAGGCAGCATGGCTGCACAAAGAATTATCTGATAAACAAAAAGTAAAAAAAATATATAGAAAGACGGATACATAACTAAGGCAGAATACCAGTATATACCAAATCTGCAAAGATGAACTCAGGAAAATTAAGGCTGAGAATGAAATAAGATGTGCAGGGAAAATAAAAAATAATTTAAAAAATGTTTCTTTCAGCATGCAAAAAAAAAAAAAAAAAAAGGTCAACAACCTTCGTTAGTGAAACAAATGGTTCACTAATGGGAGAAGATAGCAAGGAAGTGATGGGCAGCAGGGAGAAAGCAGAGCTGCTTAATTCATTCTTTGCATTTGTCTTCACACAAAATGAAAAAATAGTACAACCTACCCAAGCAGAAACTTTAAAAACTGACTAGGAATACAAGTTAAAATAGGCAAAAAAAATGATAAGACAACATCTGTCCACACTGGAAGAGTTCAAATCACCAGGACCAGATGGATTACATCCCAGAGTTCTGAAGGAGATGGCAGTTGTGATCTCAAAACCACTGAACCAACTTTCAAAGATCTTGGAGTAACGGGGAACTACCAGAGGACTGGAAAAGAGCTGGCGTAGTTCCCAGTTTCAAAAATTAGAAAAAATGGATCAAAAAAACTATAGATCAATCAGCCTGACATCAACACCTGAGAAGATCCTGGAAAAGATAATCAAGCAACAGATCTGTGAACAGCTAGAGCAAGAAAGTTATAACTAGTAGCTAACATGGGTTTGCCAAAAACAAATCATGCCCAACAAACCTTATTGTATTCTTTGACAAAGTAACTAAATTAATGGACCAGCAAAATGCTGTGGACATAGTATATTCAGATTTCAATAAGGCATTTGACAAAGTAGATCACAACCTACTTCTTGGTAAGTTAGAAAAAGGTGGGACAGACAGTATCACTATCAGATGAATTCACAACTGGCTGACAAACTGCATTTAACCTTTAGTCCTCAGTGAAACTACATCTACATGGAAAGAAGGATGCAGTGGAGTACCCCAAGGTTCAGTACTTTTCAACATCTCCATAAATGGTTTAGTTGAGGGGATAGAAGGGGAACTCATCAAATTAACAGATGATACCAAGCTGGCAGGAATAGCCAATATCCGGGAAGATGGGCTCAAGATAAAAAATTCTACATGTACTAACTGCAGCAAGAATTGTATTTGCCCAACATTGGAAAAATGAAAATTTACCAACTGAAGAAGTATTACTTAAGAAAATTTTAGAGTATGCAGAAATAGACAGATTGACTTTAAAGATAAAAGAGAAAGAAGACAGTGTATTTTAGAATATGAGACATTTTCTATCAATGGCTAGAAACATGAGCTAGAGAGAAAGGAATGGGATATGTAACTTTGAATATTTATTAGTAAGAAAACTATCGAGAGATTAATTAATATATTGTTTATGATAATTAACTATTATCTATTATTTCTTGTTAAACGCATGAACCCAGACATTATGCTGTTTGCTAAATATTGAGAATGTTATTTGGAAAATCCCTAACCTCAACCCCAATCCCGACCCTAATCCTAACCCTAACCCAAATCCCAACCCCAATCCCACCTCATTCCTAACCCTATAAAAACTAATAAAATTTATACACAAAAAAAGGATCTTGACAGACCTGAACACTGGACCCTAGCTAATAAAAGAAAATTCAATGAGAAAAGTAACATTTTATACTTAAACAAAAAACCAAATGTATAGATATAGAATAGGTGGCACCTGGTCCAATAGCAGTAACTATTCTTCAAAGCACCTAAAGGCAGGAAAAGAAGCAAGGGATGGAAACTAATCAAGAAGAACCAACCTAGATCTAAAGAGAAATTTCCTGTCAGTAAGAACAATTAAACAGTTAAATAGCTTGCATCCAGAAGTTATGGATGCTCCATCACAGGGGGCTTTTAAGTAGAGATTGGACAGCCATTTGTCTGAAATTGTACAGGGACTTCTGCTTGAGGAGAGGATTGGACTGGAAGAGCTCCAAGGTCCTTCCAGATTTATGATTCTCTTAAGTTCTTCATTCTAAGAGCGATGACCGAAAGCTGTCAGATGAATGGTCACAAAGACCCCACTCCTTCCAGCACACTTTATATAAACCAACCCTTATTTTACAATACAGGTAGTCCTCAACTTACAACAGTTCATTTAGTGACCATTCAAAGTCACAATGGCAGCAGACAAAGTGACTTATGACCATTTTTCACACTTAAGTCTGTTACATCATCTCCATGGTCACATGATCAAAATTCAGATGCTTGGCAACTACACATATTTTTAACAGCTACAGTGTCCTGGGATCATATGATCCCCTTTTGCGACCTTCTAATAAGCAAAGTCAATGGGAATGTAAGAGTCACTTAACAACCATGTTAGTAACTTAACAACTGCAGTGATTTCACTTAACAACTGTGGCAAGAAAAGCTGTAAAATAGTAACATAAATGTTGGGCTCAATTGTGGTTGTAAGTCAAGGTCTAGTTATATTGGTCCCATGCCAGGGCCTCTAAATTTTCCGAAAATATATTTATCAAATGAGAAGCTATTCTAGGAATATATACCGTATTTCACTTTCCTAGGTAAGCTACTTTCAAGGCAGTGAAAAGTAAGAAGACTAACAAATCTTAAAGAAAGCAAAAAGAAACATGGTTCCTGAGCATTAATAAAAGTGTAAATCCTCAAATAAATTATATTATAAAATAAAATAAAAATATATTTTAACAGCCTCACTAGATCAGATGACTGTATCAGGGATGACATGGGAATATGTTATTACTACTAATAGTGAAGAAAAACTGTAGTCACATGCACACATGCACACATGAATGAAAACAATCAAATCTCAAGTTTCTACACAAACTATCAAATGTAATACATTCTTGATACATTACGATAACTTGATTTTATCGGGCACAAAACTTCAATAAAAATTCTCCTTGTTCTCAACTTCACGCAGAATGAATTACTTTAATCAAATGACTTCTGCAATAATTTAGGTACACAGCAAAAAATTATAATGCAGATGAATAATGTGAACTGTATTCCATGAAATAGTTGTACAAATACCAGAAAGTTCCACTGAGTTAAGCAGGATTTAAAAAGCAGTTTTAACAGGGAGCAAGGAGGCAATTCTAGGAGAAAGCCCAGTTATTTTAGGATCTGCTCTTAATGGGACGGGATGTTTATCTATTACCTCCGTTCCCTTCCGACTATGCTCTTCGCCACTACTGGCCACATGCCCACGACTTTTAAGGAAATCGAACTCAACCCAACATTCCTTTAGCGCACGGCTCGTGTTCTTCCAAGAGCTTTTTTCTTCACTGCAGGGTTACAAGCACCGCGGCAACTCGGGGTCTCTACGGCCGTTATAGCCCTTTAGTACTGCTTTCAACTTCTCTCCTCCAAAGCTTCGCTTCCCCGCTTGTTCGAAAGTCTCCGCTGCTTCTCCTGATTGGCTGTCGCGGGGCAATTGGAACGAGACAGCGCATGCGCGACCTCTCGTTTTCCGCCTTTGTTACCTAATCTACCGAATACGGTACAGAGCATGTCTATAAATTCCTTCCTCTTTTGCTTGTGTTGGCCTAAATTTTTGACCCTTCTAGCTTTCCGTCCTAGCATGCCTTCACGAGGCTTTGGGTTTGCTGTGTAAATAAACAATTAGGTGGATGGAAATCGTTCGTGAGTCGGCTCAGAGCTGCATTTCCCCCCCGCTGGCTTATTAAATGTATTGCTTCTCTAACACCTTCTGCAATAGATTCAGGACAAATTGAAAAAAAGATTTCACGTTATTTATATTAAAAAAGTGTTTTATAAATCGTTCATCGCTGCTCCCCCTTCTTTTCTCAAAATTGGAATGATTAGAAAAAATATTTTTCCAGCTCCCTCCACAAATCGGCCTGCAGCAATCTATTTCTAGTATTTGTTTCTGAAATACTGTTAAAGAGCAAACTTCAAAATTAAGTAAAGCAGTCTCAGGTTGCAAACTTCACAAATTTAGATGAAGGCCACGATCTTTTTAAATCAGGTGCTTTATCTTAAGCTCATTGTTAGTTATAGTACCAGAATAATGGGATTATGAGTCTTAGACTTTTGAGTCTTCAGAATAATAATAAACCAACCTATGTAGCCTGTAAAATCTTATGGTAGATTAACACAGTAAAACTATTTTGTTTTGCTTTCAAGTATTATTTGAGCCCTTTTGTTACCATTACAAATAATTTTTCATGTTTTACAGGCAAATCTTAGAGCCAGGGCAAAATATAGTTCCTAATTTTCCATGTCCAAAGGAGCTACATTTCCTGGAAAACAGCAGTTTCTTGTGATTTTTAAGGTGAGAAATACAAAAAGTATAGAATATAAAATGGGGGATTTGCTGCTGTGCCATTGAGATAAATGTTTTGTAAATAAAGTGGCTCAAATTCATCAAATCCTAATTCTTTCCTCACTTCGTGTCTCTCTTGGCTCTTTTAGATGGTCAGGAGAAGGTCAATAGCTGGATCTGAGAAGCTGTCCATAACCTCCTTAGCATGCTTGAAAGAGGTAGTGGTCTTGATGAAGGGTATTCCCAGAGGTTGTTTGGGACAAGCATCACTCTTTCTCCAATCTATGTATTTAAAAAAGATTGTAGAAAAAGTGGGAATTCAACCAACGCTAAATAGTTTTTCTAGATCCTTTTTAATCATGGTTTCGCCTTGGGTATGGGATAGAAATGTCATTTGTTCAGTGTTTAGGTGGGGAAAGTGTGCTCTTCCAGATCCGAGTTGAACTCTTAGTAGTGTTCGATAACCACTAACTATGATATTCTGAACCACCTGCAAGGGTTAGAGGTTGAGAAAACTGTTTTGCCAAAGTCTCAGGTCTTCCTAAGTAAGAAGCACTGATCAGAAATCGTGGACAGAGAGAGGTTGGCATGCTAGGACTCATATGTGAGCTACCAGAGGATTTGGTCTGGAAGAAAAGATCTATCAGTTTACTATGATCATTATGAATAATAATAATAATAATAATAATAATAATAATAATAATAATAGTTGGAAGGGACCTTGGAGGTCATTGAGTCCAACCCCCTGCTCAGGCAGGTAACCCTATACCATTTTGGACAAATAGCTGTCCAGTTTCTTCTTAAAAACTTCCAGTGTTGGAGCATTCATCGCTTCTGGAGGCAGGTTGTTCCACTGGTTAATTGTTCTAACTGTCAGGAAGTTTCTCCTTAGTTCTAGGTTGCTTCTCTCTTTGGTTAGTTTCCATCCATTGCTTCTTGTCCTGCCTTCAGGCGCTTTGGACTCCCTCTTCTTTGTGGCAGCCCCTGAGATATTGGAATACTGCTATCGTGTCCCCCCTCGTCCTTCTCTTCATTAAACTAGACATACCCAATTCCAGCAGCTGTTCCTTATATGTTTTAGCCTCCAGTCCCCTAATCATCTTTGTTGCTCTTCTCTGTACTCTTTCTAGAGTCTCAACATCTTTTTTACATTATGGTGACCAAAACTGGATGCAGTATTCCAAGTGTGGCCTTACCAAGACATTGTAAAGTGGTATTAGTACTTCACGTGATCTTGATTCTATCCCTCTGTTAATGCAGCCTAGCATAGTGTTGGCTTTTTTGTAAGCTGCAGCACACTGCTGGCTCATATTTAAATGATTGTCCACTAGGACTCCGAGATCCCTCTCACAGTTACTACTATTGAGCAAGGTACCCCCTATACTATACCTGTACATTTGGTTTTTCTTGCCTAAATGTAGAACCTTACTTTTTTCACCATTGAATTTCATTTTGTTAGATAGCGGCCAGTGTCCAAGTCCGTACAGATCCTCCCGTATCCTAAGCCTCTCTTCTGGAGTGTTGGCTATTCCTGCCAGCTTGGTGTCGTCTGCAAATTTGATGGGTTCCTCATCTATCCCCTCGTCCAAATCGTTGATGAAGATGTTGAAGAGCACTGGGCCCAGAACAGAGCCCTGGGGCACCCCACTACACACTTTCCTCCATGTAGATGTGGTTCCGTTGACCACACGCTGAGTACGGCCAGTCAGCCAGCTACGGATCCATCTGGTGGTGATGCTGTCTAACCCGCATTTTTCTATCTTATCAAGTAGTAGGTTGTGATCTACTTTGTCTTACTGAAATATATTTAAATATATAAATATATTCAGTAAATGCCTTACTGAAGTCCAAGTAAATTATATCCACAGCATTCCTCTGGTCCCCTAATTTTGTCACTTGGTCAAAAAATGCAATAAGATTTGTCTGGCATGATCTGTTTTTGACAAACCCGTGTTGGCTTTTAGTAATGACTTTGTTTGCCTGTAGGGTGTTCGCTGATTCATTGTTTGATTACCTTTTCCAGAATCTTCCCAGGTATTGAGATCAGGCTGATAGGTCTGTAATTTCCTGGGTCCTTTTTTTCCCCTTTTTTGAAGATGGGAACTACATCAGCTCTTTTCCAGTCCTCTGGTAGTTCCCCAGTGCTCCAGGATCTTTGAAAAATATAGTTCAGTGGTTCTGAGATCACATCTGCCAGTTCCTTGAGAACCTTGGGGTGTAATCCATCTGGTCCTGCTGATTTGAACTCGTCTAGGCTAGAGAGGTGCTCACTTACCATTTTCTTGCCTATCTTAACTTGTATTTCTATTCTGTTTTTTATGGCATTATTTTTGATAGGTTGGTCTGTTTTTTCCCTTTGTGTAAAGACAAATGCGAAAAACGAGTTAAATAGTTCTGCTTTCTCCCTGTTGCTTGTCACCTTCTTGCCACTTTCACCCATTAATGGACCATTCGTTTCCTTCACTTTTTTCTTGTTTCTTATGTGCTGAAAGAAGCTTTTTTTGTTATTTTTGACTTGGGTCGCAAGCCTTAGTTCATTTTGAGCCTTAGCTTTCCTCACTTCATCTTTGCAAGCTCGGGCTATTTGCTGATATTCTGACTTAGTTATGTGTCCCTCTTTCCACTTTCTATACTTGTCCTTTTTATCTTTCAATTTATCAGAGAGTTCTTTATGCAGCCATGCTGGTTTCTTTTGAGAGCTGTTAGTTTTCCTCTTTGTTGGTATTGTGCTACATTGGGCTTTTATTATCTCATTTTTCAAAATTTCCCAAGCTTCTTGAGTTGTTTTCCCCTTGAGGATTCTCATCCATGGAATCCTTCCCAAACCCTCTCTAAGATTATTGAAATTAGCTCTCTTGAAGTCCAAGACTCTAGTTTGACTGTGTTCTATTGCTTGTGCTTCCATAATGTTGAGTTCCAATATTGCATGATCACTTCCTCCCAAGGTTCCTATGGCTTCAACACCTTCTATCATTTCATCTCTGTTAGTGAGAATTAGATCCAAAATGGCTAATCCCCTAGTTCCCTTCTCTACTTTTTGGGAGACAAAGTTGTCTGCTAGGTTTGCCAGGAACGTGTTTGATCTTCCACTTGGTGCAGAGTTTGTCTCCCAGTTGATGCCAGGGTAGTTAAAGTCCCCCATTACTATTGTGATGTGCTTCCTACATACCTTAGTTAACTGACTAGCAAAAAGTTCATCTATTTCCTGTGTTTGGTTGGGTGGCCTATAGTATACACCCATGGCAATGCCATTTCCCCCCCTTTTATATTGACTCAAATGCATTCAAGACAGTTTTCATCATTGTTGTGCTCTATTTCTGTAGAGATGTAGTTATTTCTTATATAGAGAGCAACTCCACCTCCTCTTTTATTTGGTCTGTTTCTTTTAAATAATTTAAATCCTACTAGCTGTGTGTTCCATTTGTGGGTTTCATCCCACCATGTTTCCGTAATGGCAACAATATCATATCTGCCCTCATTAACCTGAATTTCTAGTTCACCCTGTTTGCTATTCATACTCTGTGCATTGGTGTATAGACATTTGAGTCCTTTATGACCGACCCTGTGTTTACTTCCTACATAACCTGTGTGGTGCCTGAGTTCCCCTAATGTCTTACCACCTATTTGGTTAGTGCACTTTGTGTGGCACTCGCTATTAAGAGCTTGATTTTGCTTGACAGCAAGGTTGATGTTCTTGTCCACACACACATCTATGTTACATGCACTGATAGCCCTATAATTTTTAGATTGCCGGGGA